TGGACTCATTATTTGTTGAGTTGTCGTCGTTGCCTTTGTCCTATTTTATTTGTGGATAAAGCTTCATATAATTAGAGCTCCATCATCAATCAAGTGTTGCTTAAAACAAAAGGACTTTTTAAAAAATAAAACACTAAAGAAGAAAAAAAGTGATAGAAAATGATTGTTTATAACCTGCTTAATTACACAAAAATGGATTTTATGCATGTTCTGGGAAAAGAAAGAATGCTTAAAGAAAAAGACTTAAATCCAAGGGGAGCTGTTTAAATTTAGATCCTTATAACTGATTATAAATTGACCCAAATGTTAGAAAAATGAACTGAATTCATCTCATAAGCACTCCTTAAATTAGACAAAATACATAAAAATACATGCAAATATTAGAATGAATGAGAATGTTTCTTACTTCTTGCAGGATCTTACGTGCATCTTAACTTTCTTTTGTTATAACCGTTAGTTGTTTAACCACCAATTCATGGGCACGCTCATTTAAAGAGGAAATATTTTTCTTAAGTTTCTTAAGTTAGAACTGTTCTATGGTTGATACCAAACATGTTCATAAAGCTCTTTGTACTAAATCCCTCTCTCATGAAGCGATTTCAGCTCTTTCAATGATGATATTTTCAGTACCTTCCAGAATAATCTAATAGCTGAGAAGCTCCGATGTCCAGAGGGAACTCTGATTAGAGCGATTACTCCTCCAGCAGCTCTCTTGCAGGTTAGAGGTTGTTCTATTCCAATTTCCCCATTTGTGACATCACAAATGAGACCTTTTTGAAACGGCTTGTTTTAGGCACATAATTCCTAAAGAAAACAGATGGATGGGTTTTTTTTTTCATATAAGTCCAGCGATGTGTTTTGGCTGAGCTGAATCTGTAAAGCCTTCTGTACCGTCACAGCTGGACTCCATTAGATCATTATCATAAGACACGGACAAGTTGTTTTATGGATGGATTTCTTCACCAAGGTCAGGCGGAGAGAACTGACATGAATCACTGATGACTGATTTGTCAGAAACACATTACAGCAGCGGTGATGGATGATTGCTTCCCTGCTAACTCATCTGCTCAGTTACAAGGGACACTTTTTTGGTTGCATGCACTTGAGAAGTTTTAAGGTGCTTCAGTTGAGCTTTTTTCCAAAAATGATTCATCCATTCAATGCAGACCTGAAGACCCCCTGAGGATTTGTGACAAAGAAGCTATTAAACCCCCAAAAGCCTTCTCTGCAGTGATTTATAAGATAACTCCTTTATGTTTAAATTAAAAGCTGAAAAAAAAAACCCTGAAAGTTGCTGAAATTGCTGCAAAGCCAACCTGTGACTGAAAAAGTTGCATAAAGGAAATGAAATGATCAAAGTGAAACAGCACTGGATAAAAAACAGAAATGCTACTTTAGCACATTAGCAGTGGCGGACCTAGAAAGAAATAACAGGGTGGCAGAAGAGGGGCAAAACTGTTTTAAAGGTGGCAAAATATGACATTAATTACTTTGCTTTTTTGGCTATATATATGTCGCCAATAGAGTACAAGCATTTGGTTTAAGGTAAACTATTGATTTTATCAGTTAAAGTTGTAATTGGTGCAAGTAGACATGCGACATTCTTATTTGTAATTTCAAACTTGCCACAACTATTTCTTGACAGGTAGGGTAGCAAGGCTTTCTTTACAGTGATGGTGTGTATTTTCCCAGGCGATAGAGGCCAGTTCATACCTAAATCACTGCAAGCAAGTGGTATCGTTGCGTTAGAGTAAGGCCTTACCAACGGATGGCCATTGGGGTCAAAAGGGGAGCACAATTTTCTAAATGAGTACGTCATCAGATCGTTCGACCTCCAGCAAAATGGCAAGCACATCAGAGTCCCTTTCATCACTGGCAACGAGTGAATAGGTAATTGTGTAAAACAATGTTTAGGAATGGTGAAAATTTGTAACCTCTTGTTACAAATAAGCAAATGTGTTTTGTCCTCACAGGCTCACGTAGAAGGAAACATTGTGTTTGAAATGGCGTTGCCCAGAAACTTACACCCTCTTTGTATTTTGGCCTACAGCGACAGAATGAGCGTCCTGTCACTGTGACCCGATTGATCATGCGCCAAGGGGATGTCCCTTTGGCTGAATGGTTAGCGCACGACTCTCACCCGGCAGTCTGGGGATCGAATCCCGCCCGTGTCCTCATTTCTCCACCTTGCCACTAGGCCAGGCGCCTTGCTTACAAGGACGGTCCATCCTTGGGCAAAGAAAACAGTTAAATGGAACAGACTTACCACACGTGACCAGCTACGGTCACGTCATGTGACACGTGAAGTTATATTTTATACATATAAGTTTCAATTTGAATGTACAAAGCCTTTACTTTTAAAATTGTGTATATATTGGTTAAATTAAATATGTAAGCGAGTTACTACCTGCTAGTCACCGAAGTGAAAGTAACTGCTGTGGATCTAGAAAAAACATTTTAGCTATCAGCGCGACAGCTACATTTAATGAGTTTACATTTAAACTGGAAATTAGCCCCCGAAGTAGCTGCTGGCTCCTGATCCGCCATCCTTTTGAAGATGCCGCGCTGTATTCTGGGAATTTTGGGACAGATGGCAACAAGACACTATCCTTGCTAACAAACGGAGGACAAACGCCTCCGCAGCACACGTACGTTGGAACACACCTTGGCGGTTCCTGATGACGTATCTCCTAGGCAACCGGGGTGGGACCAAGGCATCAAGGTGAGGTTCCTTGAGATTGGGAAACACCCTTAGACCCGCTCTCATGTATTTTAGACCTAATTTTTATGGTTATGTGTTTTAACATTTCCGTGGATATTTCCAGAGATAAACGGTAAAAACTACACATTGTCTCTTTAAGGGGGAGTTGCCACCCCCAGTAGACCCACCCCTGCACATTAGCATAAATAAACTTGAAATTAAAATTGTATAATTGATATAAACTGGATATTTAGATTATATGAATGTGATGAGGTTATTAAATTCATAAATAGCTTGCTGCTATTACAATAATAAAAAACAACGGATGTCCTGCATGGTTACAGATCATTGGGTTTCATTTGGTAAAAGTGTAAAATGTCCCTGCTAATCCAACCTTTTGGTGACACCATGTGTCCCGTGGATCAAACAGATCAGTCCCAGTGGGACAGAAGTAATACATCATGGGATAAAGGTGACCTCTAACAACATATTACTCACTGGTCCCAAGAGGACAAGCGGTTCTAAACAAATCCATGGATCTTCATTTCTTTGTTCTTTTGTTACTTTTCTGCAAATCAGGAACATTTTCTATCTATTGACCGAGTCTGCTAGACCTGTAGACTAAAATCCCATTAAATCCCAGGTTTCCATCATCCAAAACCAGTTTTACAGCCTTAGTTCTTCCTTCCTCCTGCTGTCAGCGACACTGACGAGGTTATGGGTGAAATGTTGCTCCTGGAGCCCACACTAAACAGATTTGAAGCAGCTCGCTCTGAGTTAAACGTCCCCCTTTACAGGATTAAAGTGTTTGCTGTGACAATGTGTTGATCCCTAATTCAATCCAAATCGAATATTTCATTTATTTTTCAGACATGAAACAATCTTTGAGCACACCTGACAGGCTGTGATGGGAGCATTGCTTACGTGTTATTTACCTGCTGAACGTCCACGCTCTCGCTACAATCTGAAGATTTGCTCAGCGAACAACAAAATTTCTGTTAAAATTAAAGAGGATTTGTGCAATTTGGTCATTTAGCCAGACACAAACTGAACCTTTGTTTTAAATTTTAATATTTGGGTCAGTTTAGGCACAAATGAAATGTTTCTTGCTCAACTCTTTACTGAGCATGTATGTTTTTTTTTTAAAGTTTCAACCGTTCATAGATTTTTTGATGTTTTATTTTCTTTGCAGCTGCAAAACAACCCTCACTGAATAGATCATTTGGCCGATTTTAATGTCAACTTTCTTCTCTAACATAAAAAAGTGATAAAAGGCCCGAACAATACAAGTCCTTGCAGAAAATCAATAAAATCAAGAGAAAAGCTTCTGCATTTTCCTCTAAGGAGACCATCTGATGTTTTTAATCCTGAAATTTTGATTTAGCTTAAGATGCGAGGGGGAAAAAACAGGACTCCACCTCTTTGTGTTTTATCATCTGAATGAATAATCGATTTCCACTTTTAAATAATAAATCCTTCAACTGATCGATTAAAATCGAACTGCGTTAACCCCCAGGTGGCCCAAATGTCGCTGGCCTCCATTTGGTTTGACAGCAGCCATTGTTTGAAGGGGAAAGCGGGACAAACTCGTCTCCTCTGATGAGTCACTCGAGGATGACGGTTTGGAAAGTCCACTTTGACCTCTGATGGTGCAGCTCAGGTTGTGATCTGCCCCCCCTGCATCCTTTCAGAGGCATGTTTGCCCTCTCAGACGACCTCTGTCCACATCAGTCCGGACGTTTGTGCTCAGAAATATTTATTGTGCTTATGTTTATCTTAGCTATATTTATAATCTAATTTATAATTTAATGTCTAGTTGACTTTTAGATATCAGAAAAATGCTTATTTGTTCTTTCAGAAAATGATCTGCATTCTAGGTATTTTAGGCCTATAGCGCCCCCTAAAGCTGAAATTTATGTCCAGAAAAGTAGGATTAGGCAACTTGTTCTAAAATGGTGTGAAAGTTTCAACTCATGCAAATTATTAAAAAGGTCTGAAGAGTCAGCCTGTGGAGAACAAACCAGGAAGTAAAATGCAAAACATTTCCTTGTATATTTACATGTTTTTACCACAAAACTGGTTGTAAGCATCCGCCATCTGAAGGAAAATGTGAGACAACTTTGGGTAGCTGATTTTTAAAAAGTAAAAAAATCTAAATTTTGAGTAAAAACTGACAGATTTGACCAAATTGTTAGTAAATTGGCTATTCCATCTTTTGGAATTGTTTTATTCTATCGATTCTTTTGAAGACAGAAAGAAAATGTACATTTTTCCTAACAAGACACAAACACTCAGCAGATTTATTCAAATTTTATTTTTTAAAATGGATTTCATTTCATCTTTCATTTAGTTCATAAAAAGTTGCATCAATACATTTAAACACCTATAGAACACAGAAAGTGAGACAGTCACTGGAGCAGAGTTTCATGAATCTTTTTGATGATTCTTGTCAGCAGCTTCCTCCCCGAAGCCAACGAAGCCACTATGTCTTCAATCTGCTGGATCCTAGAATTAAAACACAGGAAAACGTATTAAGTATTGTAACGCAGATTCTTCTTCTGTCGTATTCGGTGGATTGGGTCCAGAAATGAGTTGTCGGAGTTAAAAAAAAATCTGTTGATTCTGGGAAAAGCAGAAGATTTGACCCAACCATCATGAGACTGAAATGTTTTAAATGAGCAGAAAATCCACAAGCCCGCAGCTCAACCGTGTCCTAATGCAGCTTCTTATTGTTTCATGCAGAGAGAGAACAACCCCACTGAGGGTGCTGAGTCGTACTTACGAGGAGCTTCCAAACACATTTTTGAAGCTTTGGACTTGAAACACACAGAGCTGGTCGGTCAAACCGACGTCAAAAACCACCTCAAACTTGGAGCATCGCTTCATGCTGCTGAAGACCACGCGTACTCTGGTAGAAGGAAACAAAATACTGTTTAGTGTACAATTAAATTTACATAAACTATGTTTTAAATTAAGGATGAGCAAGTACACCACTCTCTGCATCTGTTCAACCATCTAAATTATCTGTATCTGTACTCGGAGTGGGTGTAGTTTAATCGGAAGTGTGTGTGGTTTACAGTGATCCCTCGCTACTTTGCGGTTCGTTTATCGCGGATTCACAACTTCGCGGATTTTTCCTTTGGAGCCTTATTCAAGGGTAATTCGCCGATTCGTGGTATTTTTCACAGATTTGCGACATTTTTCTATGCGAAATATCAAGAAATTCCTGTTTTTTTCATCAATTTCATCATAAAATGCCCTTTTTGTAATAAAACTATAAAAAAACCAAGTAAAAAAATGTTTTCTTGAGTTTTACCCACAAAAAGAGAATGTGATCATACGATAATTCAATATAGTACTGTACTGTAAATATGGTGTCCCTACTTCGCGGATTTTCACCTATCGCGGCCAAGTCTGGAACGCATCTACCGCGATAAACGAGGGATCACTGTGCATCAATACATTATTTTAAATCTGAAATTGATATGGATTGATCAGAAGTTGCTATGTGTGTTGTGTATTTGAAAACTATTTACAGAGCAGCCTCAGAATTGAGATTAAATACTTTTGATCACAATAGTAAAGGAACTATTACAGAACAAGTTTTTCAGTAAAATCAGAACATTAATATTTAAGTGCATGAAATAATACACACAGAGAGAGAGAGAGAGAGAGAGAGAGAGAGAGAGAGAGAGAGAGAGAAACCCGAGCGGAGGCGGTGACCAATGCATGCACGAGCCGTTTTCAGCTCTGTCTTGTCAAATGCACCGCGTACGTTACGAAAAAAGTAACTTTAAATATTAAACTGAAAAGGAGGCGAGCTGAAGAAAACCTAGGGAGTCCTGAAGAAACGTGAGCAACAGTGAAGCAAGCACAGAGATCCGTTATTGTCTGTGTGTGTGTGCGTGGATGGGCCGGATGGACTGAGCTCCCAGCTGCAGAGTTTTGTGTGGAAGGAGGGGCGGGCATTCTATGTGACTGACCAATCACAGAGCGTGAAGACAGTCAGTTACCCAATGAGGATTTTTCTTCAGCACGATTACAGATATTTACGAGTTTTAATCGTTTCATGCTCGTCTTCGTCAAAAATGCTTTATCCATACCGGATACTCGTCTAAAACGAGTATCCGGCTCATCCCTATTTTAAATCATACATAGAATATTATTTCTTCTTTATTTACAGTGAAACGAATATCGTTCACCTTAAAGCAGCGTTTGTGTGCTTTACTCTTCAACAGGAGTGGAGCTCTTACTGAGTATCCATGCAGCTGATGTCGAGTATGTCGAAGCGAAGACCTCCCCACATCTTCAGCAGACGTAACTCCTCTCCGAGCATACGGCAGCGACTCACCACCAGGCTGACGTCATGGAGCAGCTGAACAAACGACACAAGACATTAGAGTACTTTACTTTGTGCATCTGGAACACACACACACACACACACACACACACACACACACACACCTTAGGCACATCTTGACTAGTCGAGTACTTCTCCACCCAGCCCGATTCCCCCTCCATGTACTGGGAGACCAGTTTGTGAACGAGGCGGGCGTGGGGCTGTGACTTCTCAGCTGATAGGAAATGAAAATGATTAATGATCAGTAAATAATCCCAAAGAATAACTAAAACAACAGTTTTTCTCACGGTGTAGTTCGAATTTGAAGGCGATGTTTGTTATCTTCTTCTCACATCCACCATCAGCATCACTTCCTTCAAAAACAAGAAAACACTTGGAGGTTAACGAGCACGAAGAACCAACCAGAGCCAGAAAGATCCTGGTGTTTTAACCTCAAACTCAACCCAGAGAACATCTCACTTTCAAGCTGTTCGTACTCGAGCTGCAGAAACATGGTGTTGTGGAGAAAAGTGTAACATGTGGACTTGTTCGTCCTCTCTCCCAGCCTCCATTCATTCATCCTGGTATAAAACATAAACATTAATTATTCTTCAACGTCCTTTTTCCACTAAATCCTCGTGCCAACATGCAAACGGACATGTTAAGTATGTCGATGTGTTTCTGCAGGCTGCTCTTCTCTGCTTTCATCTGCTCCAGTTTACTTGAATTCTGCTTCGTCTCCAGCTCCAGTTCAGATATTCGTCTAAAGCAGCAAAAATCGATCATTTTCCTAATATTTTAAATAAAATCTCAACATTAAAAGCAAATAAAATCTCGTCTCACCTCTCTTTGTCAGCCACTGCGTCACTAACTTTTGTCAACTCTGTAACCCCCCCCAAAAAATAAACAATGCTGTTTAGTAAAAGCCAAATAAAATTAACAATTAAAACCATAAAGTTGTGCTACAAACAACCTTCCTGCAGTGACTTTAGACCAGGTTTGTCTCCAAAACCTTTTTCCTCAACCGCAAAAATTTCTATAAAAGCAAAAACATCCAAAATGTTTATTTGATCTTTCTCCTAATTATTGACATAATTCACACAGGTTTCTCCTCTTCTGTGATCCTACCTGCTTCTAACTCACAAATGCACTCATCCAGATGTTTTATCGTCTTATCCGCCTCCTCGATCGTTCCTCTCACTTTCTGCTGCTGCTCCTGATTTAAAACAGAACATTTCAGAGATTAAAAAGAAAAAAACATCACCAGACTTCAAATTCTACCATTTCAGACGAGGAATCTCACCCGACTGGTCCGCACAAGATTAGAGTAGAGCTCTTCCTTCATCTCATGAGTCTTGACTTTGCCTAATTTTTTGAAGAAGTTGTTGTTCTCCTTGAGTTTGGCACCAAACGACTTTAACTGTTGATGTGAATAATCAGAGAGGTAAAATAAGTGAGGAGTCAAATTCACGTCTAACACAGACGTTTCCGAAAGATTTAATAACAGATGCCTTCCAGAGAAACAGAGAAGTTGGTTATTATTATTATTATTGTACCTCGTTTTCTGAAAAGTGCCTCGTTTCCTCCCATAAATGTTCGTTAACGATCTTCAGAGGCTTGTCTAAATCCTTCGTTCGGACTTTCAACCTGGAAAAAAATGTCTATTTAAATCCAAGAAAGAGCTCCTAAACTTAAAAGTTTTTACTTCAAATCATTTTAAAAGCACACAAACCCTTCAACTTTTGCTGTGAGGATCTGAACGTCCGCCTCGTACACAGCCTGTCTGGGACGATTGATGTGTCTGTTTTTTAACAAATCCAGCGGCGTGACATCCGAGTCAGACAAAAGCTTTAAAAACAAACCAAAAACACAAATTAGCTCGGCTTCTATCCACACCCAGCTCATGAAGTACTATTTAAAGAGCAAGTCACCATCAAATCAACTTATTTTTCTGATCAACTATATAAATACGTGTCTAATCGTGCTGCAGACACGTGTAGTCTATAAGTTTTGCACTTTAGTGCATTTTAGTTAAAATTTAAATTTTCTGCCTAAAACTGTCAGTGTTGTGCCGTTGTCAGGTAAAAACTCTGCACTGCATTTGAATTTAAATCTGCCATCGCTATTGGCTAAGAGGTACCCTAGAACGTTAGCTGGTACCATATGATGTCACAATGTCGTTGTGAGCCTGTGTGTGTGTGTGTGTGTATTTGTTAGCAGCTCCGCTCTCTCGGTCTGCTAGGCAACAGCATTTGTTGCATTTTTCAAACAGGAAGTGGGAGCGGAGTAAGAATCTGGTAAGGGGGGACTTGCTCTTTAAATAAGGAACTGACTTTGCCAGGAAGGATGCTCTGTCGGGGATTGTGGATGACAAAGTCAATTTTGAAGAGTTTGAAGAACTCCTGAACTGTAATGGTGCCATCTTTGAGTTTCTGTAATCAAACAAAACATATACATGAAGAGCAGGTAAATATGAGGCCTAGAGAAGGAAAAGCGCCTTCTAAGTGTTCTGAAAAAGAGTAAAATACACAAACGTACTCCTAGTCCGTCATCGCCATAATCTTCAAGCGCAGCTTGGCATCTGCTGTCAGTGTGGCTGCAGCTGGAGGAACTGACGCTCTGTGTGGTCGTATGAGAGGCGGCGGTGTTACCGTCGTGTTCAACAAGGGGCTCAAACGTCTGGGAAAAAAGAAAATCTTGAAAATTACAAAACAAGTTGTTCAATTCTGGACTTTAAGCTGCACCAAACAAGATTTTAAAGCTGCATACCAATCCGACGTGCTCGAGGCATGCTTTCAGACTCCTCTCATCCTCATCTTCATCCTCCAGAGGTCTCTTTTGTCCTTGGATGGGCGAAACAAGTCCCTCGGGTTCATCTAAAAGCTTAAGCGCCAAATCCACTTTGGGAGAGGTCTCCTTCTCAAAGCTTTTCTCAGCATCTCTGATGTCCAGGCTTTCTGAAAGATCCTCACAGCTGCCCAGCTCTTCATCATTAATGTGGTCAACGTTGTCCAAGTCGCTCAGCCGGCTGGCGATGCTGACGGAGAACGTTCTGGTAGCTTCTCCTGCAGAAGCCAGCCTCTTTGACCTGTCAGGGTTGGTTCTTTGTGGGAGTTTTGGCTTGAAGCGTCCCACCGAGAGTTGAGACATCAGCTGTTGCATCTTCAAGTTGAAAGGAGTTGCAGCAAAAGGTCGCTCATCGTCTGTATTCGTTTCAAAACTTGTTTCGAACGTCGGCTGCACCACAGGTAAAGGTCCGGTTTTACTGCTGGACGTTTTATCCATGTCCAAGTCTGGCGGAGGCACAGGGGCTGCACCAGGGTCTTCAGCAACATCATCAGCAGCTGCTTTAATCTTGTTGCTCAAACGTCTGACTTTAGAGCGGAGATCAGCCAAGCTAATGCGTCTGGATGTAGGTGAACGCTTTGTGTCAACATCTGGGCCTTCAGCACTGGGTTCAGCCTTCTCAGGGAATGCTTCAGTTGTTTGCAGAGGTTCCTCTGCGGTCTCCATTTTGTTTGAATCCAAATAATTTGAGGGATTGAAAGCTTCTACCTCAGAGATGGAGGATCCCAGAAATGTATTGTTCCCTGAGAACTCCCTTTCATCTAAATGGTCAGAAAGGTGGTCTTGTGGTGAAAAAACATCTTGATGTAAAATATCTGTTACACCGATTTCTGCACAACTGGTCACGGTTTCCATCACCGGCTTTCCCACAACATCTGAAACCACGCTTGGAGATTCGGTTGCAGCGTCTGTGTCAGCTTTCTGTGTCTTCAGCTGAAAGTGACACGAGGCAGCAGGTTCTTGAGGCAGTGGTGTATCAGTTGCATCTGCTTCCTGGGTCGTGGAGCTTTTATATTTTTGTTCTACTTGTGCTGATGAAGACCTGTTTGAAAGTGGAGCACAGTCCCCGCTGTCTGTCTTCTCCGCAGCAGGAGGAAATTTCATGTTTTGGTCAAGAGAAACCATCTCTGAGGCCAGATTACTGGTCATATTCACGGTGAAGCACGAGGTCATGTCCATGCATGCATCTTCTGTTGTGAACCTCTGGGTTTCGTCTACAGATGGAGGTTGAAGCTCCACATTTTGATACAACTTTGGCTCAAAAGTGGTAGAAAAACTGGCTGTGTGGCTTTTCGTCATATCCATTAATGATCGTTTCGGAGTGAACCTCTCAGTCCTTTCTCCATTAGCAGGCAGCTGGTGCACATTTTGGTGAGGAAATGTATTTAAATCGGTGGAAATGTTTGCAGTGTGACTTCTTGTCACATCAATAGATGCGTCATTTGTTGTGAACCTCACCGTTTTCTCCCCATCAGGTGGAAGGTTGACATATTGGTGCGACGGTTTATTTAAATGACTTGAAACGCTTACTGTGTGACTTCTAGTCACATCCATTGCTGCATCGTCTGTTGTCAGCCTCACCATTTTCACTCCATTTGCAGGCGAGTCCACTTTCGAAATGGAGTGTGGCGGTAAATCGTGGATGATGTTTACCATGTGACTCTGTGTAACATCCATAGTTGCATCATTTGCTGAAAACCTGACAGTTTTCTCTCCATCAGCTGGAAGCAGGTTGACATACTGGTGCGACTGCTTATTTAACTCAGTGGAAACCTTTTCTGTGTGACTTCCAGTTGCATCGTTTGTTGTGAATCTGACAGTTTGCTCTCTGTTCGCAGGCAAGTCCACATTTGAAATGGAGTGTGGTGGTAAATCATGGATGATGTTCACTGTGTGATACTGTGTAACATCCATACCAGCATCAGCAGCAGTGAACCTCACCGTTTTCTCCCCATCAGGTGGAAGGTTGACATATTGGTGCGACGGTTTATTTAAATGACTTGAAACGCTTACTGTGTGACTTCTAGTCACATCCATTGCTGCATCGTCTGTTGTCAGCCTCACCATTTTCACTCCATTTGCAGGCGAGTCCACTTTCGAAATGGAGTGTGGCGGTAAATCGTGGATGATGTTTACCATGTGACTCTGTGTAACATCCATAGTTGCATCATTTGCTGAAAACCTGACAGTTTTCTCTCCATCAGCTGGAAGCAGGTTGACATACTGGTGCGACTGCTTATTTAACTCAGTGGAAACCTTTTCTGTGTGACTTCCAGTTGCATCGTTTGTTGTGAATCTGACAGTTTGCTCTCTGTTCGCAGGCAAGTCCACATTTGAAATGGAGTGTGGTGGTAAATCATGGATGATGTTCACTGTGTGATACTGTGTAACATCCATACCAGCATCAGCAGCAGTGAACCTCACTGTTTTCTCTCTGAGGGGATCTTCAGAAGCAAATTTAGCCTGAGGAGTGGAAAAGATGAGACCTTGTAGTGGCTACTCTTCATAGAAAATAAAAAAAAACACAGAAGAAATTTGGTGTGGTTGTCAATTCCTGCAATTTAAACAAAGGACCTCACCTGAAGTCTCTGTGCTGTCTTTAAAGAAATCCCCATTAAAGTTTCTATAACAAACAAAGAAAAGGAGAAATAAAGTAAAAACGTTAGCTGTAGAGGTATTTTCTGTGGCGGTGTCTTAGTGCCATTCAGAAAAAACGAAGGGGTGAGCCACCAGAGGAGTGTTCTGGCAAGAATCTGGTGATACGATTCATTATGATACTAAAATCCAGACAATTTTTCAGACTTTTAGGTCAGACCCAAGACACATCCAGCATTAGTTCTTGTTCCATGAAGGAGGTCAAAATGCTGCCACCTAGCAATCCGAGTTTGAGTTGCATCACACAAAAGAAATACAGTCAATGTTTGCAAGTACATTCTCAGAACACACTTAAATAGTAATTCTAATTTGTTCTCACATCCCAGTGAGAAACGTGTACATTTGAGATTTGAGACTCTTATTGTGAAAGATTGAAGGAAACTCGTGAGCTCTGCTGTGGACGCTGCTGCAGAGGAGGCCATATCACTGTGACCTCGTATTTTAAAACTTCAGTTTTGCTGATTTTCATCAGTTTACTGAACAAAAACACACCCAGAGCCCTTGACAATAACACTAGAAATGAAACAAATACATTTGGTCAGGTTTGTTCTATTTTCACCTCTTTGGAAAAAGTATTTCACCTGTTCCTCAGTATTCTCAAACACTTCAGCTTTATTCTGAAAAGCTTTTGCTTTTTTTCCCTCAACATTTTTACTTTAATCTAGAAACTTCCTTGTTTTTTCCATCCTCTGACGCCCAAACACGCTGATGTCTTTTTCTAATTATGACTAAAAATATTTGCAATCAGTCGTTTGATGCCTTATTATATGGCTAAAAAAGCAGATCAATTGCAACATTCAGGAATCATAAAAATATTTATTTCTAATTCTAATAAGAAATAATTTCCCCTTAAATTATTTTTTTGTTTAAGGTTTGGTCAGAGGTGTTCAAAGATGTTTTTATTAGTCTAAAAAGTCTAATCACGTTAGTAGATTAGTCGATAATAACGGTTTACGATGACCGTACCTTTAGAGCTGGATGGTCGATGGTCTGTATCGCTCTGCTGCTGTGATGTCATCAGCTCCATCTTGGGATGAACACTCTGAGGGTGCGTTGCTTGTGAGAGACGCTGAACATCTTTAACATCCATGGTCACATGACCTCCTAGAATGTATCCTGTCTGAAGTTCTGTCACATCCATGCTTATGTCGTCTTTAGGATAGACTGCAAATCCATCAGATTGTGAAGCAAATGGCCCCATCTGAGCTCTGACGGGGTTAATCTGCAGGTTTTTATATCCAGTATTCCCGCAGTGTGAGGACAAAGATCTGCTTAGTGTAGGATCGCAGGTTTTATCTTCTCCTTTTCCCACAAAAGAGTCTGAATCTGATGCTAAATGACTGACAGCATTCTCAGTCAGACACTGGGTCAAATCCATGGCTGTGTCATCAGCCGCGAGCCTCAAAGTCTGCTCTCTAGTGGCTGGAGAAAGATTCACACTTTGGTGCAACTGGAGTCCGACGTCAGAGTCGATTTTCAACGTGTGGCATTTTGTGACGTCCATGCAGTCGTCGTCAGCAGAAAGCCTCAGCGTTTCCTCTTCGTAGTCTTTTACATTCGTAGGTTTCACCTGTAGAGAAGACCAATCGTATATCAACAACCACCGGTGACAACAACGCTGACATCATCTTATATAAATATAAAATAGAGCTGCACGATATTAGGAAAACCTGCGATATTCGATAACAGTGATTAATATTGCAATGACGATATTACTTGCGATAAATAAAAACATAACTCAGGAACAAAAATAATCAAAAACAAAAATTAAATAATCATCTAAATGAAAAAAGCAAAAGATGTGAGGAAAGGGAAAAAGAAAATGAACAAGAAAAGACAATCAGTGGATCCCAGGAAAAGCTGAATCAGCAGAAAGAGCAGAACGAAGCTAACTCCAGTGTTTGCTAACCATCTAAATTAAGTGCCGCCTGCCTCGGGGGCGGGACTCTAACCTATGAGAACCCACACGATTGGCCAAATGGGTGAGGAGCTCTATTTGATTTGTTAAAAAAACATCATGCTTCATGTTTGATTGACAGAATAAATTATGTGTAGCAAACATTTGAGCTGACCATTCATTGCGATATTTATCTGTTCTTTGCGATATGCATATTGGGCATGCTGATATCAAGATAACGATATATTTACGATATATTGTGCAGCCATAACATAAAACCAGGTTCAGTTTAAGTGAAATATTTGGACATTAGAAAGGCCAAAACAGGACAAGTCAAACAAAGAACTTACCTGTGGAAAAAAAGATTGAAATAAATAAAATGGTTTAAAAAAAAAAGCCTCTATTTACGTGTTTGAGGTCATTATGAAATCTAATATTTCAAGGGTTTTCTTAAAAATCTTACTTTCAAGGAGTCATCATCCAACTTGACCTCTTTTGGTTATCCAATAACAGTAAATTCAGCAGGATTTCTCTGATTTATTTAGCATGAGTTAGTGACACAACCAGAACTTTATCTAATGTTTGACATCACAACAACAAAATTAAACCATTTTATAAATAAAAACTAAAGAACATTTCTGTGATATTTTCACCAAAAACTGTATTCAAAACTTTGTAAATTATGGGTAAACAATGTTTCGGTGTTTGCACCCACCTGGTGTATTTGTGGCTGTGTCTTCAAAAATGGCTGTAATGAGGTTTCCACGCCTGAATATGAAGATAGGTTTCATAAAAAAGCAAATTAGAGTAAAACGTGTTCTGTGATTGGTTCTTCTGTTGTCTCTACTTTTGGTTTTGTTTTACTTCTTACCTTCCTGCGCTGGAGTCCTTTCTGCAGGGTTTGAGCTTTGTGAGAGGAACACAACCCCAAACAGATCATTCGACCCCATCGTCTCTAGGATTTTACCTCTGTGAACATCTGTTAAATCCATGCTAAAGTCTTCTTCAGAGCTTTTTAGGCCTCCATCAAACAGTATTCCACAGCTTTTGCTGTTATCAAGCCCCCATTCTTTCCTATCAACTTCTGCCTCTGGTGTCTGCAACGGGAAGCCATCAGTGTTGATCGTGGCTTTAGAGAACAGCACAGTGACAGGTCTAGTTCTGGGAATCTCAGGATTTCCACTGAGGTCTCTTGGTTTGGTAAAACTAGCAGACCCGTTCAGCTCAATGGACCCAGAACGTTCACCACTTTCCTCTGGTTTCTTCTCCGTCACCGTTGATGATCTTTTGTCAGAGTGGGCGTACATGTCCTGAGCTGGAAAAAGACACTGAAAAGGATCATCATCTTCTTCATCAACAACTCCTGGAGCTACAGCCATGCCTAAACTCTCGTCTTCTGGACAGGAAGTGCTTCTGTTCCTGCTGCAACTGAGCAACGTAGGGATCTGATTTTCTTTGTCTATAGCGGTTTGTCCTGTACTTTTTGTGTCTTCTGAAGAGGATCCGGTTAGAGGGGTCCTGCTGCTGAAGCCACTTGGCTTGGAGAGACTTGTATGAATGTTTTCAAAATCAGGAATGACAAAAGGGATGTTAGTGACAAGACTTGAATCATTCTTTTGGCCACTAAATAGCATAGCTGGCAAACTTGATGTAGCTGCAGTGTGACTTAGAGACACATCTGCAAACACGCCATCTGACACCACCCTTCTTTCTCCCAATGTGTGGAAAATGTCATGGTGCGTTTGCATTTTAAGCGTTCCTGCATCTCCAGTAATGTTTATGGTGTGGCTGCAGGTCATGTCCATGTCTGCATCTTCTGTGGAGAACACCACTGTCTTTTCCCCAAAGTCATTCGGAATGTCACAGCTGACCTAGTGAAGACAGACGGTGTCAGATAGATAATATTTACAGAATATGGACAAAAAAATACAAAATTAGAGTTCTATTTAACTAATCTGGAGGCTGTGGTGATAGTTAACGTCACTAATTCACGGTAAACTCACCATATTACTTTGATGGGAACCGTGTAGTGGAGCACTCAGCAGGTTTTCTATGCCTAAATTGGAACAACTGGATTTAGTAATAACTTCACATCATCAGATGTGGGCACTGCAAAAATTACCAAAAAGCATAAGAAAAATGTTTTCTCACCCATTATTTGTTGGGTCCCATCATCTGTGGCTGCCATCTGGACTCTAATAGAAGAAAACAGCACGTTTGGTCAGGCACAAGGACTTAACGGTAGTAAACAAACGAAGTTCATTTAACAGGACATGCCACCTCACCTGTTTTGTGTTGTTGCAGCAGCTGCAAATGAACACAGAGCTGTTATAATGCTGCATTTAAACTATAAAATGATGTATGTGTACATTATGCTATGGTGCATACTTGCTGCAATCAACTCCTGCAGAGGATTTCGAGTAGGTGAGGCAGTTTTGACATCCCTATTAGAAAAATAAAAGATTAGATGGAGATGACACTTTAATGTAAAAACAAAGACTTTCTTGATGACTCACTTGGCAAACAGTAGAACATCAGTGGCAGGAGCAAAACTGACTCTTCTTGAGTTTCTCTTCTCAAACGGCTTTGCACTTTCCACCTTAGTGACAAATTAAATTAAATTTATGGTTCATAACTACAAAATGAATTGGAAGTTTTGTTTGCTGTTCCTTTTTCAGAGACAGTTGATGCCTTATAAAACCATAAACTGGTAAATGAAACAAATGACACAAGAATGACCCTCTAGCAAGCAACTTACCTCATTCTCCTGTTGCTCTGATTCACAGGTCCCTGATGATTTCCGTGTTACTTTTAAAATCTGAAAATTCAAAACAATTTTTAAATATGTAAACAATACTTTCAGGTACTGTCTATAACATGCAAGGCCCATGCAATTGTAAATTACAAACACTGACAGAGGAAATGCGCCGTCTGGAATGTCCGCTTCCTTCCCTATAAAACAAACAAGACAACAAAATTCAGCAAACTTACCGTACTTTCTTTCTGTAGTAACGACCTAAATATGAAGACTGGCTATTTGTCACATAAAATCCTCAGTGTTGCATCACTGTTTTACTCACACGTTCTTGGCTGGATCCAAGGGTTCCATTTTCTACTGTAAAATAACACGAAACCATTAAATAACAACCGATAAACTATGCAAGTGGCAATCATTTATATACAAAAACAACTTTAAATACCCCTAAATGTATTTTATTTTGCATCAACATAGCCAGGTTTTGTTCTAATATTTTAAATTGCTTGTGGATATTATTTCTCCATACTTTAAGAATGTATTTTACACATTACACAGTGGACTTTAGTTACTTTATCACTCATTCAGTCCACTCCCTGCACTTAATCACGTTGTGTGTGCTTGCATTAAAAAGGAAACACATTCAGGAATAGTGACAGAACCTCAGAATTGCTAAATCCTTCGTTATTCATCCATTGTTTGATGAGTCTTCAACAAATATGTTTTAGGGAATAAATATGCTGGTTCTTAACTACAATTTTATGTTTTTTAAACTATGTTATCTTTACCCTAACCCATAGACAAAGTAAACAAATACCATATATTATTTATCTATTTTGCTATTCTATTTTTGACAGAACATTGGTTCATATTTTTATCCCTGAATATTTCTGAATTAAACTAACTGAAGGAAATTCCTAAAAAGAATTAGTTAAAAATGACTTTGCATTTAAAAAAAATGACAGTAATAGACACCAGAGTCACATAAAAACTTTGGTCTGAAAACAAACGACTTTAGCACGTAAAAAGGCCGTATTAGTGATGTACATGTCGCAACAAAAAATCTGTTTAAACGGAACTTTGGTGAAACAACAGACGTAAATCGCCCTGTCAAGTACTTTAAATCCGTAAACCTCGCACTGGGGCTTCGTTTGAACACTTTTTTCACTTAAACAAAGACACGTTTCAATAATAAAGCCACATCTTCTCCCCCTTCTTAAAAAAATAAGTAAATATTTACCAACAACGCTATTGCCAACAACGATAGCTAGTCAGTGTTAGCTTATTATTGCTAAGTTAAACGTAAAAAAACAGTATACAACATACCGTATGGTCTTGTGGTCTAAGTCCTTTATTTTACGGCGAATACATTTGTGTTACTACTTAATGACTATCTTAAACGCGTTTTATATTAATCATGCATTTAGCATTAAGGCTATGCGCGAATTTACAACCTAAAGCTAACGGCTTGAGTTTTGAATTTAGCCGCCTCCGCGCATGCGTACAACTCAGCGATATCGTAATTTCGTCACAATTTTTTCTATTCTTTATTTAATTCTTATAGTTTACTTAAAGCGTAGTAGAATTGTTTGGATATATTTTAATTGTTAAAAAATATGGAGAAAAAAATACATTTTCAAAGTCAAGAAAAGTATACCGGAAACGACCAAGTAACCGGAAAAGAGAGGACAGAGGGCGGGACATTTTAAAAATCTAACGATTCATCAATCTACTTTCCGCATATCTTAACAGGTAGTTAATTCTATTTATTATCTCACACGGCTGTTGTTTTTGTTATGTTTATTTTTTCGTAGTTAATGTGAGTTAAACGTATTTGCGATCATTTAAATGCTTGAGTGCTGAATGTCGAGCTCCCAAAACGCGTCGTGTCAATAATTCTGGACCGTTGAGTCTCAACATTTTAAATTATGTTAATAATTTCACTTCACACAGCTACATTGTGATGGACAGTTCATCCAACTTGCAAAAATGTAGTTTAAATAGGTTACATAATGGCGATGAATACATTATATTTATAAAACAAATAAAAAATAATTTCAGGGTATTAATACGTTTCTGCTCTTCGTACAGTTTTCGTACTTTCAGATCACTCATATCTTTGCATTGTGGAATTCAAAATAAGTAATCAAAAAAAATAACAATAACCATATCTAATTTATACTTTTATTCTTTAAAATCAGAATCAAACTCGTGTTTATTTCCGTGTCTCTGTTCAGAATACCTTATATGGTGGTGACATTAAAACATGTCATCAAAAATTCCAAGAGGTGAGCTGATTCTCTTTGTTTACTACTTTTCTGCTGGTTTTAATCGGTGTGTTTTAGATGATTATGGCGCTTTTGTGACTAACAGCTTTAAAACGTTCAGGTGTTCATGTTCCAGGAGAAGGAAAGAAAACTGCCCAAAAACCTGAATCCAAAGACTCGGCTATACTTTCCACAGCAGCCAACAATGTCCTGAAACCAGACTTTAAAGCCCAAAAAGAAAACATGCCAAGGTAAATGACTTCCCTTCTGATTTTAAAATACCTTGACGTAAAGAATAATTATGTATACCACAAAATCTGCCGGCTGTTTTCCTCTGTGCTGTTAAATCTGTTTGTTTAGCAGAAAAGGTGCTGCTCCTAAAGTTCACAAAGGGTAAATCCTACACGATTCTCCATATTATTAAAACATTTTATAGACAGCCGCATCTTTGTGTTTAGATTCTCAGTTGTTTGGACTTTTCTGCAGAATTTCAACTAGGCATGGGCAGCAGGTCGAGCTCAAGGAGCAATATCATCACTTGACCGCCATCAACGAGGAGCTGCAGAAACAACTTTCAGAGTCGCGGGTAAAGAAAACAACACAAAAGAAAATGACATCGTTATTCGTTCATTTTTTTAGGTGCTGCTTCTTCCTTTTCATTACAGCAACAAGTTGCTGAGCTGGAGCTGCAGTTCAGTGAGCTTCTCAGCGAGAATGCAGCGATAAAGAAAAGCCTCCACGACTGTCGTGTTCTTCTGGTTTCTGCCAAGATTGACCCAGGTGGCGGAACAAACGTCTTCCTTTACATCCTGTATATCAGCTCCTGTCCAATGTGTTAACTGGAGAAAAAAAACCCGGTTCTTGATTTTCAGTTTTAGGAGAAAAAGTTGGAGATGCAGCCCAACATAATGAAGACAAAAGGAAAGAAGCCATGGTACACTTAATTTATTTCACTTCATTCTACATCAATAATTAAAGCCATGCTTAAATTGTAATTAAGCTCAAATCAAACTCACACAAATGTTTACAATCTGGAGTACATTTACGTTTAAAATACTCATTTGTTCCAGACCTTCCGAAGAGAACAAATAAGTTAATTGTTTTCTGTAAGCAGATACAGTGATTCCTCGTTTATCGCGGTAGATGCGTTCCAGACCTGGCCGCGATAGGTGAAAATCCGTGAAGTAGGGACACCATATTTACAGTACAGTACTATATTGAATTATCGTATGATCACATTCTCTTTTTGTGGGTGAAACTCAAGAAAAAAAAATTTTTACTTGTTTTTTTTATAGTTTTATTACAAAAAGTGCATTTTATGATGAAAAAAATAGGAATTTCTTGATATTTTGCATAGAAAAATGCCACGAATTGGTGAAAAATACCGCGAATCGGCGAATTTCCCTTGAATAAGGCTCCAAAGAAAAAATCCGCAAAGTCGTGAATCCGCGATAAACGAACCGTGAAGTAGCGAGGGATCACTGTAATAAAATACGATCTTATCGCCTATTTTATTTACAGTGTGCTATAAATATATTCTAGACACACTTGCCATTGTAAAAACACCTAAATCAACTTTTTGACATGTATCCAGAGCGTTTCCACTGACCTGCTGCAGGAGTTAAAAGCATTTAGTGATACTGCATCCCAACAGCAAACCCAGCTAAAGGTGAGTCAAGCTCCACTTTTAACAACACAATCCTCCACGCTGCAACTGTTCATGTTTCATTTAGCTGTTTTACAAACTTCTAGGAGCTCTGGACAACAATGGAGGACATCACAAAAGCACGAGAGCTGATGAGGCAGGAGAGGGAGAACTTTTCCCAGCAGGCCACTGAAATGGAGAACGCTCTAAAAGAAGCAGAAGCACTGTTACTGTAAAAGTGTCACAAACCCTTAATAATCAGTTCTATATATTGTTGTTTAAACTAAATAAAGATTTCATGTAAATATCTTTTTGTTATTTCAAACACTAAAACACGTGTACACAGCAGGGCGTTCATTTATTCCTTACTTAATGGCTTGTGTAAAAGTTGTTAAAACGTATGTTTCTTATAATTAATTTATATTCTTTTCAGATAAAAATGAGTTAGAAATGTCCCATAAGGTGTTTAAATTGTGCAAAAATGTTGTTTCTGAACTTTTCCATTAAAAATATAACAAAACATACAAAGTGTCTTATGAGAGGATGAATACCCGCAAATAAAAGTAAAGCCACAATTTTATAAATGCATCTATATTACATATAAACAATAACAGCCTAAAATGCAGTATTATTTAGATTTTTGGTGAGTAATGTCATAGGGGTTAAATACGACATCCAGACCACTCTTGATGGTGCTGACGCTGGTGGAGGTCTGTGTGCTGGAGCTTCCTGCAGCAGCATTGGCTCTTGCTTTTGTTGAGTTGTAGTAATAGATGAACAGGAAGAAACCTGGCAGAAAGAAAATGGGATGCTCACAGAAATGATCTAAATTAATCGGCTTAATTATAAAATAGATTTTTCCAAAGTGTAACCAAAAATCTTTACTGCTTGTTCTATTTGAAGGATTTTTCTTATTAACATTTCTTTAATGGAGACATCTGTATTAAGTGTGGAAAAATGAAAAACCATTTTTGCAAATCGTGTTTCTTATTCTAATGGGTTGCTCTGAGTTTTTAATGAAAATAGTCTCCTACACCTATCTCCTGCATTAGCTTCTGATAGAAAACAGATGAAACTCTAGGATTAGAAAATCCTGACAGATCTACGTCACACTGTCGCCACACATTCATGGACTCACCCATCTTGGCTCACGACGGGGAAGGCTGTTGTTGGTTTAGCGTCCAGGAAACAGCAGAGAAAATCTCTGCTAGTAGAAATGGTAAATGGCCTGTATTTGTATAGCACCTTCTTAGCTATAACCCCCAAGGTGCTTCACAACACAATCAGTCATTCACATGCTGGTGATGATGAGCTACGATGTAGCCACAGCTGCTCTGGGGCACACTGACAGAGGCAAGGCTGCTGAACACTGGCGCCACCGGTCCCTCCGACCACCACCAGCAGGCAAGTCGGTTTAAGTGTCTTGCCCAAGGACAAGAAAGGAGCCAGGATCGAACCTGCAACCTTCTGATTACTGGACAACCCACTTTACCTCCTGAGCTACTGCTGTCCCTGCAACCCTTAGCATTAGAAGCTAACAGTTAGCATTAGCAACTCCAACACACAGCGCAACTCCTCCAGGCTTGTGTTATTTGTGGAGATAAAACATCAACGTTGCAGAGCAAACAGTCAGTGGTAGTGTCGTGTTGCTGTTAGCCAATCAGAGGAGAGGTGTCCAAATATCAGGAAAAAACTCCAAATCCCTCCGTGTTAAGCTACTTTCTCCCCCAGCTGAATTCTCTGTGCTGAAACAGGTACATCTGGGCCTTGATTAAACAAATGATCCGCATCTTTGAAAGCTGATGGAGGTTTTAATATTAACGATCAACCTTTGTTTACTGAAACAGAGATGAGCATTTTCTGCAGAAAAAAAACAGTATAGAAATGAGGATGTTTATATATGTCAGACCTAGAATGTTTCATTCAGAGTGAAGTCCTCCTAATTTGACTCGTGTAATATGTGTGCTAAATGACAATTTCAGTTAAGTACCCTGGAAGGAGTTGAGGATTGTGAAAATGTAGGTGGCGGGGATCCGGAGGGCACCGTAGGCGAAGAAGGCGAAGCCCCACGTGACACCCAGCTGGCAGCACAGGCCCATGATGGTTAACACACTTTTGCCACTTGTGCCCCCTTTTTCACCAGCCACTTTGGATTTCTTGAGACCAAAGAGCCAGGAAACAGTGATGATGACAGTGGTGAAGGTGAAGAGGAAGACCAGCGAATAGTAGCCAATGTTGACAATGTAGTGAACGTAGACATCAGTTATCCAGCACCTTGGAAGGAGAAGAACTGTTAGCTCCTACAAGGACTGTTTTCACATAACAGTACAGAATTTAAATGATTTTAAGTCTCACATGTCCACATTGTTTGCAGGATCATCAGCATAGATGGTTTCAAGACCGTATTTTCCTAAGCAGGCAATAATAATTGCAATTACAGCTGGGAGAGCTGGGAAAGGAAACAAGGAAAACTAGTTTAATTTCAATCATCTATAGATAGATTGTGATTATGAAGAGTGCAACGTTCTCACCCCAGTTGATGGCAGAGATTTTGAGGATGTAGCGTTTGATGGCAATTTGGCCTCCAGTGTAGAGCTGCAGACAGAGGTGGAAGGCCTGTCCAGCAAACCAGCTGAACGTGGCCAACATGGAGAAGTGCATGATGGCTGCCATCACCTGACAGCCCACCAGGTTTTTCATCTTTGCAATGCTGTTGTTGATCAGGAAGGTGAAGTTCAGCAGGAACATGGCCAACATCAGGTGGATGAGAATAACCGTAGTCTGACTCGCCTTAGTCCTCCTGTAAACACAGAATAAACCAAAAATACATGTGAGAAGTTGTTTAGTTTTGTTAAAAGTACTTTAGATAAACAGTCTCTTTATCCGAGGCTATTTATTAATGAGATAATTTGGTCATTTTTTAGCGATGTTCAGTCAGATCTGCAGTAAAGAATGCAACCTCCAGAAACAGGAAGTAGTCATTTGACGGCGATTAGTGACTACCTTCCAATTTTCAAAACACCATGATTGTTCCTAAAAGTCGGGCTGACATTTTAGTGCATTGGTTTCTGATGCTGGGGCCAGGGGCCCTCTCTGGGTCGTAAACACCGGGCGGTGGGTCTTGAAAAGCTCTACCGACATCCCAAAAAATTTAAAGGTGTGGTTCACTCATTTAATGAATACATTTGCAGCGGTCTCTAGCAGGAATTAATGCATTATGAGTCGTAGGGGAAGAAAACACCAGTGCCCCGTTTTCAGAAACTAGAAGTGAGCCACATCACATCTGAGCTTCAGACGGCAGGATTTGGAGTCTTATTTCCTGATATTTGGATGTCTCGCTTCGGAATACATAACAACACGTCTTTACCGCTGACTGGCAACGTTGATGTTTTATCTCCACAAAAAGCACAAGGAGGAGGAATTCTGCTGTGTGGTGGAGTTGCTAATGCTAACTAAAACAACAACAGCCTTCCCCGTCATGAGCCAAACTAATGAGTTTAATGTCCTTTATAGGGCCAACGTCCATATTTAGACACTTCCACTCGCATCATAAATGATGTCGATGTGCCTTTTTACAAACTCTTAGAATTACGGGATTTCACCCAAACAATCATCAGAGATCAAGCTAGACACGGTTTGCACCATGGCATCATTCCACCAATCAGTGCAGGGCTATAACGCGCCAAATATTGCAGAGCCAGAAAACTGCTGATCTCCTCTCGTGTTTACGGTCAGATCTCTAAAACTAACAATGATAGGTTTATGAAACTCTCACATCAGGTTGACTAGTTGTGCTAAATAAGGATAAATGTGTTGGAAATGTTAAACTCAATAAAGTTGGTGACATTTTAGCATGAAAATCAAATCTGCCATACTTGAACATACGCCCTGAACAAGTAAAAGAAATTATGAATATTTTTAGGTAAAATCTGTTGTTTTTTAGACATAATCTTAACAGTAATAATAACAATTATGATACTGAATATATTTTGCAGTTTAAACTAAGATTTCTCTGGGAAACGCTGGAGGACAGTTATTCTGCTAACCAATCTCGACATCAGTGATGATGATGATGAACAGGAGGAAGATGATAATGAAGCAGATCCTCACATATAAAATATTCTAAATATATATATTTGATCAGAAGATGCATAAAAAGTATTTTTAATGAGAATTTTAAAAACATTCCCAGAACCAAACAAGTGACAGCATTTTTTTTTTTTTGCATAAAGTTTGTTTTGACAAAAGTACACTGGAAAGTTTTCCATAGAAGTCCAACAGCGCTACTACTATTCAACAGCTTGATTTGCCTACGGTGAACAATTTAGACATTAACTCACAGCAGCGTTTTACTCTGTTCATGAGCCAACTTATTTCCATAACGTTTTCCAACATTCCCAGAACCAGCAGGTTTATTTTATACTGGTGTACTCACAATGGTGTGCTTCAAACTCACTTCGCTAAATTCTTTTAAAAGATTTTCATGATTAAAATAAAACATGATTAAAAAGGCATATATACTCATAATTATTTTATTAATAATAATAATATTTTCTGTCTGTATTTATTTCACAGTTCTTTGTGGGCAGAACACCTCAACTTTTATTTTAAAAAATTCTTATTGCATTGTTCATTTTAGCAACATAAAATGTTGCTAAAATGAACAAAACCTCGTGTAAAAGAACAAACTTATTTTTTTTTCCTTGCATAGAAGAATTGCAGCTTTAATTAGTGCTATATCATATTTCTGTGCATTTTTATACATTTTTTTTGCAGCATAAGTATGCATGAAAGTTTAGATTTCCTCACTGATACCTTATAAGAAAATGCATGAAGAGGCCTACGCCCAGGAAGAACATGGACAAGCCACAGCCAGCCTGTGAGATGGTGGTGAGGTACTTCAGGTCTGTGCTGGAGATGGTTTCGTTTATGGGAGTCTGCAAAACCAAAGAGGAAAACACTTTTTTACATTTGAAATAAAGAAAATAGATCAGCAGAGGATCGATCTCATCCTTCTGAAACTTTAGGACGAAAAGATCTCACCAGTAATATAGCGAAGAACGTCAGATGTGTACACTGACATATAATCCCTCCATTTGCATCTTTTATGGTTTCACATCCAGCGTTGGTCCAGTTTGGCCTCCCACCTGTAAAACCAGAATGAAGCAGAGCAGAACTTAATGTAAAGAAGATCATTTTGGTGTCTGGACCTTGAAAGTTCAAATTAACTATAGAAGAACTAAACTGACTCCCTCCCTCTCATGGTCCCTGCACTTAGATTGTCCATCCATGTTCTGTACCCGCTTATCCACGCAGGGTCACAAGGGGCTGGCGCCTACCTCCAGTAGGACAGGTTGCCAGCACGGACCTTCTTGCTGCAAGGCAACAGCGCTACACACTGCGCCACAGTGCAGCCCACCTAAATTATGTGAAAATTACATGTTTAAAATAATCTTGCAGCTTAAACATCTCTGCATGTGATGCAAAGGGCAACAGAACCTGCCTCTAGGATTATTGGTTCCCTACCACCTCATCTACACGGCGCCTGCTGCAGAACAACCAGTTGAGATAACATAGAGTACAGGCCAAACATTCTCATTCAATGTGTTTTCTTCATTTTCATGACCGTGTAGGGGCCAACAAGTGCTAAACACCTCTGGGAACTCCTTCAAGACTGTTGGCTTTCATTTTTATTTATTTTTTTTATAAAGCACCTTAATGGCGCCAGCCAGGGTCACCCAAAGTGCAGTACATGATGAAATCATAGATCATATACATTCAAATTAGAGACAACTATAAAACCATGCTGAAAATGGATTTCACAAGACATAAAAAACACTAAAAACAATTAAATCTAAATGCACATAATGCCTAAAAACAATGAAAATAAATTAAACCATTCCAAGAATATTACCAGAAAAATAACAATAAAACCAAAAGAGTACAAAAAAGTATAAAATTAACTAGATTTGCAATATTGCTACAATTTAGCTTTAAATCTCCAGACAGTAGATGCATATCTAGTGGGAGTTTGCTCCACAGTCTTGGGGCCAGCATTGCAAAGGCTCGCTCCCCTCGAGACCTGCAGTTACACCTCGGCTCGACCAATAAATCCTTCTCTGCAGAGGGGAGAGGTCGAGCAGGAACATACCTTATTAAAAGCTCTGCAAGATAAGGTGGCGCTGTTCCGGCAAGCGCCTGGAAAACATAAACCAGGAGTTTCATTTCAAGAAACCCATTTCAGGTGACTTCCTCTTGAAGCTCATCAGGAGAAGGCCAAGAGCGTGCAAAGCAGTAATCAGAGCAAAGGGGTGGCTATTTTGAAGAACACAGAATATAAAACATGTTTTCAGTTTTTTCACCTTTCTGGGTTAAGTACATAACTCCTCATGTGTTCATTCATAGTTTTGATGTCTTCAGTGAGAATCTACCAACGTAAATAAAGAAAGCACATTGAATGAGATGGTATGCCCAAACTTCTGGCCTGTACCTTTGCATGGTGAGAACTTTTTGCTATAAGACAACAGTGCTCAACCTCGCCGCCGTGCTTCCCTCTAACATAAACATGCAAATGACAAAGTGTCCAGAATTACCGTCTCCATTCCACGAGTGACAATGCGGATTCCCACTCTGCAAACAAACAGAGCTACGTTTGTTCTTCATGAATGGGATTTTATTTTCTAAATCAAAGAAATAATTCACCAAACTCACGTATATTAAGTTCTTGAACGTGATGTTGACTGGGTCAGAAAGATTTTTGATTTTAGCTCCCATATCGATTCCTATAACCTCGTTCTGTAGAACAGTGCTGTTTTTATCGTCCTGCAAACACACACACACACACACACACACACACACACACACACACACACACACACACACACACACACACACACACACACACACACATACACACACACACACACACACACACACACACACACACACACACTATGATTTAGCATCATAAAAAGGATTTCCATCATTTCTTACTGCATATTCTTCTCTTACAGAAGTCATGTTCAGGAACCGGATGATGGCTGCAAAAGGTATGGAGATGTTTGAAGACATAGCTTGTTGAAAAGCTTCCTTTGACACGGTGACCGATCTTGAAAATGTACTCAGAGTTTGTGCATCGCCAATAATCTGCAGTAAATAAAAACAAGTCAGTGAAAAACTCACACAAAGTAAAGCTATTCAGATGAATGGAGATTAAATTCTGATGAATATGGAGAAATTTGAACGAAACATCATGACCTTAATCAGCGATTACCTTAAGTTTTCTGTCATTTTTAATATTCTTGTTATTAATATTACCTTTGCATTCAATTTGATCCTTTTATGCTTTAAATACATTTGTAAAAATGAAAATATTCCACTGCTTCTTGGTGCGGAAATTATAAAGTTAAACTGACTTGTTCTGAAGGTTTCTTTGACTTTAAAAATCTGAGACTTTTATGTTATTTTAGGTAAGCATCCCGTAGGATTATTAATCACCAGAAACATCACCTTAATTTTTATTAAAGGGTTAAAACGGTGCTAATAAGAATGTCACTGTTCTTTGCTTAGGAGCACAAATAAATAACCCACGTTTAGGTTGCTGTTTGCAGACTGGTAAGCTAATGACACCGGCTCCAGCACTGTGGGGTCCGCCTGTCTCACCAACATTCCCTTGACCCCTTCTCCTGCTGACAGCTCAGCCGACGTTCCGTTCATTTGGGAAACCAAATTCGCCAAATTAGCAACAAAAGTACTGTTGAGAGAACAAAGAGGAACAGTAATGCGGGACTGTTCAAACTGAAAAACATAACATTCTTATTATTACTGAGGGTGAGAGTTAGGAAGCTTTGTTTATATTTGAGTATTCTAATGTTAGAACTTAAAGAGCAAGTCACCCCAAATCAACTTTTTTTCTGATAAGCTATATAAATGTGTGTCTAGTCGTGCTGCAGACACGTGTAGTCAGTAGTTTTCCACTTTAGTGCATTTTAGTTAAAATTTAAATTTTCTGCCTAAAACTGTCAGTGTTGTATCGTTGTCAGGTAAAAACTCTGCACTGCAGTTGAATTTAAATCTGCCATCGCTATTGGCTAAGAGGCACCCTAGAACGTTAGCTGGTACCATATGATGTCACAATGTTGTTGTGAGCCTGTGTTTGTGTGTATTTGTTAGCGGCTCCGCCCTCTCGGTCTGCTAGGCAACAGCATTTGTTGCATTTTTTTAACAGGAAGTGGGAGTGGAGCAATACTCTGGTAGGGGGTGACTTGCTCTTTAATGTCTCACATTTGTTGTTTCAGATCTTTAAAGAACATCAGACACCTGAACTCTGCGCAGGAGACAGGAAGGCAGCTAAATACACACATTTTTATTTAAACTTGTGTGTCCAGCAGGCTGTTTGAACTATTATTTAGAGTAAAACAATTCAAACGCAGAACCTTCTACTTTGACTAAACATGCAACAAAGTTCATTCAGTAATCAACCCAATAAGCATGTCTTACGCAGCCGAAGATGCATCAACTTCTCCTGGTGTGTTTCCTATGATACTTTCCACAGAGGTGTTGAGCGTTAACGTTTCATCCGGCCCTTTTATTGGGTTGTCACAGTTGATGCACTCAGGACGGTTGGTCATGTTTAGTAAGTACTTGTCGTTGAAAACGTTGGCTAAAAGACAGAGATTATTTTTGTTATTCTCAAGCGCTGGTTGAAAACTGGATAGCTAACATTTCTAAGATGAACAAGCTTATTTTTGTTGGTCCAAACATGTCTATTATGGGTAAGCTACCGACCACAGTCCTGGCTTGAAGTAAAAATAATATTATTTTATGCTGACGCACAGGAAGTGGACAGGAGTTGGTCCAGAACTGAGAGATTTGCATCAAGAGATTTGATGCAGTATGCTGGTTCAAATCTCTCTAGGAGAAGCACCCCATTATAATTTTTCCCCTTTCCATAATGTCGATCAGCATGAGGACAGAGGCAATAATTTATAACAGTAAAAGAGGAAAAATTAAAGCTGCAGTGGCAAATTTGGAAAACAAATTAACTTAAAACATTAATTTTTATGCCTATGAAAGGTTTGGGACACTCAATTAACACATTTGTAGTGGTCTCTAGTAGGAATGAATGAATGAATGAATGAATGAATGAATGAATGAATGAATGAATGAATGAATGAAGGAATGAATGAATGAGTCTCAGATTAACTTGTTTCAGGAACTAGCAGAGAGCTTCAGACGGCGGGTTTTGGAGTTTTTTCCTGATACTTGGACATCTCTTCTCTGATTGGCTAACAGCAACACGACTCTACCACGGGCTCTGTTTGCTCTGCAACGTTGATGTTTTATCTCTACAAAGAAGCATGGAGGAGTTCTGCCATGTGGTGAAGTTGCTAATGCTAACGGTTAGCTTTTACTAGCCCAGACACTCTCTGCTGTTTCCTGGACGATAAACCAGCAACAGCCTTCCCCGCCGTGACTCAAGATGGGTGAGTCCATGAGTGTCAAGTGACAGTGTGACATAGATCTGCCAGGATTTTCTAATCCTGGAGTTTTACTGTCAGAAGCTAATCCAGGAGACTGGTGTAGGAGACTATTTTCATGTTCAGCCTGCATGATAAACTCAGAGTGACCCGTTGGAATCACAAGCAATTTTTTAAAATGGGTCTTCAGTGTCCCACATCCTCTAAATACGTTCTAACATTGTGGAGATTTTTTTTTTCAATGAAATAAAGTGGTTCTCTCATGTTTGTCTAAAAACCTCCACCAATAACACGTTTCAGACCGGCTGTCAGTCCCGCCAAATCGCTGCACTTCCCTGTATTTAGAAACAGAACACCACTGGTGTGAGAGGTTCTCCGCTCAATGACATCAGAGAGGGAGAAACAGACGGCTGCTGCCACTTTCGGACGAACTACCAGAGTCCCAAAAAGATGTTTGGACCTAGAAAATGTCAGCCGGTGTTTAGCGCTGTCTCGTTTCCTCCATCTTTGCCGGTTTCTGGTTCCAGCAGAAGCGTCTCAGGGATGATACTCGAGGGGAGGGGTGAGCCATAACGGCTTTCAGCAATCTTTTAAGGCTTCCATCCTTGGCTTTCCCACAAATCTTCAACCATGTTTTGCTTCCATAAATTCCAAAACTTTACATTTCTCAAAGTTAAAAGGTTTTTCAGTGAGTATTAATAATACTTTGTGTTTGTGTCAGTCAAATAAAGTACACAAACTTGTATACCACATATCTGATACATACTCACCTATGTTTTCACAGTAGGCTTTATCATAAGTACTGCCGCTGCCACATATCTTATTCATTACCACAGGACCGAAATCCAAAAAGCTTTGGTCTGGATAAGAAAAGAAAGTGATGTCACTTCAACAAATGTATTGTCAGCATCTATTCTTTGTCTCATTTGGTCAGTAATATACTTGGATTTGCGTTCATGCTGTTCTTTCCAGCTCGAGTATATACTGTCAGAGATTTCTTGACGAGATCTTTGGGAACATAAAGTAGGAGAGAGCCTTTTACTTCCACTTGTGGCCAGACTTTCCACAATTTTTCTGTGAAATAAAAATAGAAATGTATGTTTCACTTTCTGACATTTCAAAGACAGTTCTGACTAAATCCTGAATGTTGGTATAGTCACAAGTAGGTGCACTTACTTTGTCTTGTGATGTTTCGCTGAAGAAATATTATGCAGCTATCTTTCCCTGAGGGAAGAAAAGAATAATGCTTTAGAGAGGCTACTTGACGACTCG